AGAAAGGAAGAAAGGAAAACTAACATTTCCCTTATTTTAATAATAATTATTATTATTATTTGAGACAGTGTCTTGCTCTATTGCCCAGGCCGAAGGCAGTGGCGGGATCTTGGCTAACTGCAACCTCTGCCTTCCAGGTTCAAGCGATTCTCCTGCCTCAACCTCCCAAGTAGCTGGGATTACAGGCATGCGCCACCACACCCGGCTTATTTTATATTTTTAGTAGAGACCAGGTTGTACCATGTTGGCCAGGCTGGTCTCAAACTGCTGATCACAAGTGATCCACCCGCCTCAGCCTCCCAAAGTGCTGGGATTACAGGCCTGAGCCACCTCGCCTGTCTGGAAAACTATTTCCTGAGCACTTATTACAATAAGTGCTTTTATAATCTTTATAACCCCATAAGGTGTGTGCTTTTCTGTCACAAGGAAAGTAGTCATGGAGAGATTGGAACTAGATACACCCAAACCAGTTATTCTGACGAGAATAAAATTGAGGGCTTGCATGGTGGCTCATGTCTGTAATTCCAGCACTTTGGGAGACAGAGGCTGATCTCCTTTTTTTTTTTTTTTTTTTTTGAGACTGAGTTTCGCTCTTGTTACCCAGGCTGGAGTGCAATGGCGCGATCTCGGCTCACCGCAACCTCCACCTCCTGGGTTCAGGCAATTCTCCTGCCTCAGCCTCCCGAGTAGCTGGGATTACAGGCATGCACCACCATGCCCAGCTAATTTTTTGTATTTTTAGTAGAGACGGGGTTTCACCGTGTTGACCAGGATGGTCTCGATCTCTTGACCTCGTGATCCACCCGCCTCGGCCTCCCAAAGTGCTGGGATTACAGGCGTGAGCCACCGCAACCGGCCAGAGGCTGATCTCTTAAACCCAGGAGTTAAAGATCAGCTTGGGCAACGGAGCAAAACCATGTGTCTACAAAAAATCAAAAGTTAGCCAGCATGGTGACAAGCGTCTGTAGTCCCAGATACTTGGAAGGCTGAGATGGGAGAATCAAGACTACAACGATCCAAGATTGCGCCACTGTACTCCAGCCAGACCTTGTCAAGCGAGCAAGCAAGAGAAAGAGAGACAGAGAGGGAAGGAGGGAGAGGGAGAGAGAGAGAGAGAAAGAAAGAAGAAAGGGAGGGAGGGAAGAAAGAAGGCAGGAAGGGAGGGAGAGAGAGAGAGAGAAAGAAAGAAGAAAGGGAGGGAGGGAAGAAAGAAGGCAGGAAGGGAGGGAGAGAGAGAGAGAGAAAGAAAGAAGAAAGGGAGGGAGGGAAGAAAGAAGGCAGGAAGGGAGGGAGAGAGAGAGAGAGAAAGAAAGAAGAAAGGGAGGGAGGGAAGAAAGAAGGCAGGAAGGGAGGGAGAGAGAGAGAAAGAAGAAAGGGAGGAAGGAAGGAAAAAGAAGAAGAAAGGGAGGAAGAAAGGGAGAAAGGAAGGAAGGAAGAAAAAGAAAGAATGGGGGCCCCTCTTACAGACTTTGTTAAAACCATTGAATTCTTTGAGTCTCCGCTTCCCTCATTTGCAGTGTCCTAATTACTTCATATGGTTGTTTTCCATAAAAATAATGGAAGTGAAGCTGTCTAATAAATTTTGAAGTGCTAAACAAATGTCAGAGGTTAATTGCTATAACTGTGCCATCAGCTAGCTGACCTTGGTTGGAGTTCATAAATGTTAATAAGTGGTTTGAAGATGTATAAGGCAGTCCCCACTCCCAAGAGCTGCCAGTCTCATTGAATAATCTAGGGGGACATTCCAATTCTAGTATTCTGGATTACGTGTCCACCCTCTTTTCACTAGAAAAGTTCCCCCCAAGAGAGTTATTCCCAGGTCAGAAAACAAAGGGCTCCAGAGTCTCCTGAAAATGCACTTCACCTGAGAAGGCAGCTGGATCTCCTCTAATCTAGTACTTTTCAACTGTTAAGGGACATAAGAATCACCTGGGCATCTTCTAGGGTGGCGCTCAGAGGCTATATTTCCAAAGAATTCCCAGCTGATACTGCACAGACCACATTTTAAGTAGCAAGTCTCTAACCTAGCGTCCCCCAACCACAGACAGTTTTTCCATGGGGAGGTGGGGAGGAAGTGGTTTCAGTATGAAACTGTTACACCTGGGCGGGGTACGGTGGCTCACGCCTGTAATCTAAGCACTTGGGAGGCCAATGCAGGCAGATCACCTGAGGGCGGGAGTTCAAGACCAGCCTGACAAATATGGTGAAACCCCATCTTAAAAATATATAAATAAATAAATAAATAATAAAGAAACTGTTACACCTGAGATCAGTTTTTTTGTTTGTTT